TGGTTAAGTGACTAAAGTAGAATAGAAAAATTATTCGCTTACACCAAAAACTAATCCATCTATTCAGGAATGGTCATCCCGTGACCACACCTTAGCATCTTTAGGATGCCTAAAAATATAGAAAACACCCTTCCCCAATATCCCTTCTTTAGTCCCCATTAAGTCCTTTTTTTTCCACAATTATGCTTACTAACACCACCACTGGGTTAGGGCTTGAAGGCCTGACCACTAAGTCCCATTGACATCTAGGACTTCTTTGCCATATGGCCATATCCTTGATCATTACACAAGAAGATTGTTCTTTCTTTTCCACAGTCTAAAACTTTGGGATGACATTTAGCCACGCCAGATATGCAAGTAGGTAGTGCCACCCACACTTGGATTAAAAGCATCATGAGCTAAAACTGGCTCTTGAACTCTTCACTAAGTTATCTTATTTATCTATCTATATTCACTCTCCTTCATAATGGTTATATCATCACCCACCATATAAGTATATTTTTCTTTGATTACATTGACCTTTCTTGGCCAAATTGATTCCATTGGAGTCCTCCCCCTATTATCCTTTTGAAGCTCACCAAACCCCCTATAGTCTGGGAGATGATCACTTTGGGTTTTCACCCTTAGACTTGGACTTTGACTCAAACTCAAACTCGGTTTTGGTCTTGGTCCTCAACTCGAACTCTATTGTAAGCTCTTGAATTTGGATTTCCCAGAAAGTCACCCGACTCAGTAATATTCAAACTTAAGAATGCTTAACCCCAAGTATCCTAAAAACTTTAACCGATTGGAAAAAGGGGTGAACTTTTATTCATGAACCTTTTTCCTTTATATTTGAACCCTTATGAATCGTCTTTTGAATTGTTCCTTTTAGTTGTTTACAATCCACCATGCTTTCCTGCAAGTTGACACCTTCATGAACTGAAGCTTACAGCTAGTGGAGCAAATTGGATTTGCCAGATGTTACTCAATATATGGTGTAATTCCCCTAACTAACCAACAAAGTTAGACCCAAGACCAGATATCAATCAACATGTGGTGCAATTCTCCTAACCAACCAACAGAGTCAGACCTAAGACCCTTCTGATACCAAATGTAAGCTTTTGGATTTGGACTTTCCAGGAGGTTACCCAATATAGTAATATTTAAATCTAAGGATGCTTAATCCCAAGTATCCCAAAACCTTTAACCGATTGAAAAAAAGGGTGCACTCTTATTTATATGCCTTTTCCCTTTATATTTAAATTTTTATAAATTGTCTCTTGAATCATTCCCTTTGGTTAATTACATCCATCTCGCACTTTATCTCAAACTCCATTTTAGACTTCTTCTTGAACTCTATCTCGGACTTTTTCTCGGACTTTTTTTCGGACTCCTTCTCAGACTTTTTTTCAGACTCCATCTGGGACTCTTTCTTAGATTCCTTCTCAGACTCAATCCTAACACTTCTATGTGTCATGATATTTGCCATATGTTAGTCTTTCTTGATTCCATTTCTAGAGACTCATTCATCAATCACTTTATGCTCATCCCTCAAATACTTCCATTTTGACCATTGCCATATGACACCCTTTCGGCTCCACTTTGGGGCTTAGGGATTTATGTTTCACAACTCCACCACCCATAGACAAAGTTCAATGTCCTTATTGAATAATAAACCATTTTATAAAGTAACCTTATTATGGATTACTATTTTCATCCTTAGCACAAAGTTAATATTTATCAATGGTTTGACATTTAAGGCTCATCATACTTTACCCATCTTATAAGGAGTATAGTTTTTCCAGCTTAAAGTCTCATTAGATCATCAATGGTAGTTTTTTACCTTTGTTTATTTAGTTCTCATAAAATCTATTAGAAACACTTTCTCTATTTCATGTAAATAACTAAAGAGAATAACTCAAGAGACGATCCACAGGGTTTAAATATAAAAAGAAAAAGCCCATAAATAACATTATACCCCCTTTTTAATTGATTAAGAGTTTTAGGATACTTAAGGTTAAGAGTCCTTACGTGGATAACTTTCCGAAAAGTCTAAATTTAAAAGTTTACATCTCAATTTTACTACTCATTCTAAGAAAATTGACTCAAGATGTCAATATTAAAGTTCTAGAATGCAATAGTTATGTTGGTAGAGGCTGAAACTACAAGTGTGTCCAACATCTTGTATTTCACCGGTTACGCAAACTCCACTTCCCCATCCTAAAAAGTTTTGGAGCATTTAAGAATCCATGAAATTTCTTTTCTTTCATTGTTGTTTGCTACAATGTTGATCATCCTATTACTACTAGACTATTTTACCCATGCATCAAAAACTTCAAACTTATTCATGGTGATATGTGTTTCATAGCAACATGGAACAAAACAAATTAGATTATTACTAAAGGTAAAAATTATTTAATTCAATGGAGGATAAAATATGAAAATCCAAAAATGGAGATATAAGAAATATTAAATACATTTTATTGATATAAAAAAATTACAAATAAAATATTTTATTCTTTATATTCACCACCATTTGAAAATTTAATAAAAAGATAAAATCTTTAAGGAACTTTGAAATTACATTATATGGACATTAATTATGAATAAGGATGGAAAAGTTTTTTCACTTGAAAATTTAAAATAATAACATTTTAAAGAGTATATATTAAAGAAGTGTGTGTGTGTGTGTGTGTGTGTGTGTATATATATATATATATATATATATATATATATATCACAAAATAATGTCATATTAAAAAGTGAAAATTTTGCTAGTATTTAAAAATATTTGTAATAAATACTACTCATAGTTATGCTTTCTCATCATCACACACCATAAGGAAATGGTTTCTTGAAATGGTGAAGAAAAGTATACAGCTAAAATTTAAATCCCAAAATGTAATTAATTATTAAAATTAATATTTTAAATAATATTCTAATAGATTTTTTATTTTTTATTTTTAGATTTAAATTACATTATTAAATTATTAATAAAATGATAAATTGAAATCCTTTTAAAAACTAGTACTTTGACAAATGATATTAAAACTAAGGTATAGTGAAAAACTAATATGCAATTAAGTAGTATTTAGTATTTTTTTACCAATTTTTTCCTATATTTTTTGCAATTTACGGATAACCACAATGCAAATCTATTTTGGAAAAGACTTTTGCATCTCTAAGTCTATGCAAAATATTACCTACTGATGATATATGCACTTTGTCCTTCATTGTCTTCTTGTATAAAGCTTTATTGTCTATCCCTGCATTGAGTCATCCTTTTTCTTGGCAAATGAGATAGAAGCACCAAAAGAAGATTTGTTGGGTTGGATAAACCCATACTCAAGCAACCCAGTCATTGGCCCTTGACCTTTATCTCATCTGCATGACTAAGACAAAATGGTTGTCTATAAATTGGCTTTATACTAGGCTTTAGCAGTTAACTCTACTGGAAACACATAAGTAAATTCTTCAAGCTTCACCCAAACAACCTCTTCTCCTGTGAGAGAACTTAAAGTATCTAACTCTCTAATGAACATAAAAATCATTCCCTTTATTATAAATAGCTCCAAAGACATGGTTGACATCATCTGTGTGATGATTGGAAGATCACTCCACTAATCCAATTTGACTTGGTGAAGACTCCACTTGATCTCGGGATCAATGGGGCAATTTTGCCCTTCTTTCTTGATCACATAAGCCAAATTATTCCAAGATCAAATCCACATTCTTCATGGCAGCCAGAAAAAAATCCTCAACGAACTCCATTTTTCCCACCTTTATGAGAAGTTGCATGATGTCCCACTTCTGAGTTTCTGTGCCAATAATCTTATACAGAGGCAACTTCCCTAAACCCTCACATTCCTTTACCAATTTTGAAAAAATAAATTGAGCTGCCAATCAATTAGGATCATCACTAAACACTGCTTAGCTATCCCTCCACTTGAATTAGTCAAGATTTAGTCATCAAGCCACCAATATCATCACACTAGATTTGATCAATAATTCTACAATCACTAACAAATGTTCTTTCAACTCAAAAGCCTCATTTGTACACTACACTTCCTAGATCTTCTTGTTGTTAGAAGCACCAACTCCATTGTTGTTCTTCAGCAATATTTTCTTCTAGTGATCCAAAAATCCACACTTGAAGCATTGATAGGATTAGTGATGCAAACCGTCTTTGAAATTTGGCCATTATTCCAGTGGCTTCTACCATTTTTGCCATGCCCTCCACCATTGCTACTATAGAAAAATCCTACCATATGGAAATTTGAGTAAGAATTCTTGCTATTGCCACTATCACTATATCCAATATCATCTTTAGAAACTCCTATTACACTAATTCTTCTTGGTGTTATCAGGCTACTACTCTTGTGACTCCTCATCCTCAAGTGCTCCAACATCCATAAAAAATTCCTCCGGCAACTTGGAAGTTTGGGTAGACTTCGTAGATTTCTACATGTTATGGTTGTGCAAACCATCTAGGAAGTAATCCTTCTCCACCTCCTCCATATAGTCACTTCAAATTCAGCTAAACAACATTCCAAACCAATTATATACTCATTGATCAAATTGCCCTTCCTCTGCTGTAGCTAACACCAAGCATGCCAAGCATCATAGGTGCAAACTCCTACTTAAAAGCTACTACAAACTTTTCTAAGGAGGTAAATGGTCCTTTCCTAGTGCTTATTCATTAGTTATTTGCATCCACCACTGTGATGCCTTGATTTTCAAGGCAACCTCCAGAAGGATCAGTGGTTAAGTATCATCAAAACCTTGGACCTGGATCAGCCTTGAGATTTTACCAAGGTTTCATCTGCAATACCTTGTGATTAGATTACCACTACCACCTCAAGATTGATCAAGCTTTTCCATGCAAGTTTGCATGTCTTGCTGGGAGTCACATCTCTTGCCAAAAAAACCTTTTACATAATCCTTCAAAACCACAATGCATAGAGCTACTAGACTATAGTGGGTTGAATAAAACTCCTTTTTGCTTTTTCTTTTCTTAATTGTTTAAAGTTTTTAGTTAGATACGCCATTTTCTTAGACACTCAATGACCTAATCCTCTAATTGACCTACTAATCCCATACTTAGCCTTAAGCGGATAATAGGGTGCTCAAACTTGGAATTTGCCATGTCAAGTTTCCCTCGTGCATTACACACTTAGGCATATAGTCTATCTGCTTTTGAACGTATGTTATGACATTAGCATGTGCCCTTACTTGGCGGCCATTTGTTGTATGGATTACTTCGTGCCTAGGATCGTGCAGGCAGAGTCTTTACTGGTAAAGCCTATGCATCCCTCAGCAGTAGAACATCTCTTCAATTCAGATGCGGCCAGTGAAGGTTAGTTTGCCCACATAGTGGTCATGATCAATTGAGGTAAGGAAGCTCAGAACCGTGTTTGTATTGCTGAAATGGTCTGGGCGTAGAGCAGATTGCAACTGTACTCCAATTAGTCTGCAAAAGTTTGGATAGAAAAGTTTGTCAAAAGTTGCTTTCCTTGTGCCGCAAGTAACCCTGTGGAAGTGGGAACTACTTGACCTTCTCCACTATGAAAATCGAAGAAACAAGCACTACAGCTTTGTGAACCTGTCCATGATCAACTGGATTGAAGGAAATTCCACTATAAATTGCTTGCAATACGCTTGTCCATGACCAGCAGAGTTCGAGAAATGCACGCTCCTCACCACCACCAGACTCATATATTGTATGTGAAAAGAATACCTTTATCTAAGGGTGTATGCGTTTGCCAGTAAGAGGTAAGGTCCAGGTACATGATGATCCAAATTAGTTGTCGCCACCTTTCCCAACCGTGCATTACCATGTAATTTACACTTTCCCAGGAGAATTGTCCATGCTCCCGGATCCGCACAAGAGGTGACCAGTTCTCTCGCCTCCTCCAGCCTCCCACTCCGCCCCAAGAGATCAATCAAACAGTGGTAGTGTTGGACGCCGGGAGCTATCCCACAGTCCGTACACATTACCCGGAAATAGTACAGCCCCTCATGCAACCGCCCACCGTGGCTGCACGCCGCCAGGATGGTCACAAACGTCAGGTCACTGGGTTCGACCCCCTCTCCAAACATTGTCGAGAACAATACCATGGCCAGCTCCACAAGACCATTCTGAGAATATGCGGCTACCATGGTGCTCCACAGCACGGGGCTGCCATGGTACGGAAGTAAGAGCGCGTGGAACTCGTTAGCAGCTGCGGTGAGGTCTCCGCATCCTCCGTACATGCTGATGATGAGACCCCCCAACATGAGCTCATTTGACACGGAGTTGAATTCTCTGAAATTTGCGTGGATTGATCGGGCATCAGAGAGCGAGCCAATGCAGCTGCACGCGAAAAACGCACTCGCAAAAGCGCTCTCATCTGGGTGATACCCTTCTTGGTTCATCCTCCGGAAGAGGGATATCCCCTCGATTCCATGGCCGTTTTGGGCATATGCCGCGATCATCACGCTCCATGTCACTGTGTTCCAGCACGGCATTGTGTCGAACAACAACTGGGCTTCCTCAAGATGCCCGTGCTGGGCATATCCAGCCAGCATTGCAGTCCACGTCACAACGTTGGGTGCTGAAGTGGACTCTAGCATGGCTTGTGCCTTGTCCAAATACCCGTTTCGGGCATATGCAGCGAGCATCGCAGTCCACGAGATGTCATCTTGCTGAGGCATTTTTGCGAAGACATCTTCCGCCTCTGAAATGTTTCCACTCTCGGAGAACGCGTTAAAGATGGCCGTGCAGGATATAATATCGCGCTCGGGCATTTCTGTGAACATCGCCATCGCTTTAAGAGTATGCCCAGCTCGGGCATATGCCTCCGTCATAGAGGACCAAGCAACAATGTCCAACGCTGGCATCTGGTTAAACAACGCCCGACCTTGTGTGAGTCTTCCAGTTGCTGCAAGCGCATTCAAGAGCGTCGTCCACGAAAACAGGTCTCTCTCGGGCATTCTCTCGAAGATCGTCCTTGCTTCGCTCAGATCCTCGCCCTGCGACACTGCTGCGATGGCAAAGTTGTACGAGGCAACATCGCGCTCCGGCATCTCCTGGAAAAGTTTCAGAGCTTCGGTGAAACGCCCGTCTCGGACAAGGGCACCCAAGAGGCCGTTCCATGACAGGATGTCGTGGCAGGCCATGTCATCGAACACCAACCGCGCGTCGTCGTAGTGTTTGCTGTGCTGGAGCATTGTGTTCCACGTCACAAGAGACCACCCGGGCATTGTATCAAACATGCTCCACGCCTTTTCCAAATGCCCACTAGCGGCATTTGCTACAATGATAATGTTCCACGAGATTATGTTCTTGTGTGGCATGCTGTCAAATATTTCATTCGATTCATTTAGAAATGGAACATCAGAATAGGCTTTGAGGATTGCAGTCCACGAAACCACGTCCCAACACGGCATGTTTTCGAACATCAATCTTGCGGTGTACAAATCCCCGTTACTGGCATATGCAGTGACGATGATGTTCCACGAAAAAAGATTCGGCTCCGGAAGGCTATCAAACACCTCGCGGGCTTTCTCAACACTTCCGTGCTTCCCATACATTTCGATGACAAGGTTGGCGAGGAAAATGTTGTGGCGGTGCTCGCTGGCGGAGATCGTCGCGTGGATCTTTTGGGCTTGCTGGAGACTCCGGCACGACTTGACCAGGTTGGCGTACAATGCTGGGTCCGATTGATCCATTGCAGCAGTGGTCAAGTGCATCGTTTTGACCCGTGTGAATCAATCCCAATCGCTTTGATTTTCAACTGTTTTGGATCGAGATGATCTAGCCATCTTTGCTACACCATAAAAACGCTTTGATTCTCCACTACTCAAAGCTGGGACTGGGACTGATGAGAGAAAGTCTGAATTGCTTCCATCGACTTCGACTTCTCGTTATGAAGATTCTACTCTCCACAGTCGCCGTCGCCGACATTGCGCAAGCGGAAAAAATTGGTTTGATAACCAAAAAGAGGAAACAAAGAAGGCCCGGCCCTACCCCGAACGAAAAAGTTCCATGTATAAAAACTAAAGGAAAGAAACACCCAGACGTGGCGGGAATGCAAAGTGATTACGTGGCGGACGACGTGGCATGGCATGGCATGGCTGCCGAGCCTCTCGAGCCTGCCGAGGCTGGACATCCGAGGCTGGCATTGCTTTTGCCGAGGCTGCCGTGGGTATGCCGCCCATGATGCCATGCTTGGGGAAGGGGCAAAAGAATCGAAAGCTCCAAGAAGAGGTTTATATTTCGGGATGGAGATGGAGGGTTTTGTGGCTTTGCTGTGGAGATGGAAGGCGCCCCGGCGACGATCCTGCCGCATTCCGTCTAGGAAGCGCAAGCGATCGATCGATCCATCGCCGCGGCGGGAAGGGTGGATCTTTGGTTGTTGATTTCTTTGTTTGGCCGATCACCTTGATCGCAGACTGAGCGGGCGCCTTGTGAGCTGAAATATTGCCGAGATTTTGGCAGCTATGCGCGATCGCCGGTCATGGGGATCGTCGCGCAGCTCGGGCTGGGCCTCGTGATTGTTCTTTGCGCTTGCTTCCCACGGTCTTTGCAAGGGCATGATGGATTACATTCCAGGCGCGCGTTCCTGCTGGATCGCGGTAAGCTTGAGAGGTTTTCTTGATCGATTCAAGCAACTGACATCTCTTTTTGTGAATTTCCCAGGTGCTGAGGCGAAATATCTCCGACACACACGGAATTTCAGCGATTCCTTGCCTGGGGAGACGCGCCGTGTGGATCCTCTAGATGGTCTCAAGCACTACCGAGGGGGATTTGACATCGAGAACAAGCATTACTGGGCGGTAAGTCGATCGTCTTGTTTGTAACTTGCTACAAAGTGAAAATTTGGTGACGCTCCTAATCGTGATGCTTTTGTGATGCTAGTCGGTGCTTTTTTCGGGGATATATGGGTACGCACTTGCGGTGGCATCAGTACTACTTGGCCTCGTTTTCCTGGTGCTGCTTTTTGTTCGATCGATGAAGAGGAGGGATTTAAAATTCCAAAAGATGGCTCCTAGTGCTTCAAATTCCCATCACTCTATTGTGTCTTCGGCGGCTTTGATGCTTTTGACACTGTTAGCACTGTAAGTGTTCTCCGTGCTTGGAAGTCTGTTTATATCTATGACTGACTTTGGGCTCGTTTAGTGTCTTTTGCTGCTTGCTTCTTGTCGGAAACAAGAGGCTACACGAGGACGCCAACGTTGTGAAAGATGTTCTTATTGAGGCTGCCAACAATGCCACTGCTACTATATACAATGTCACGACAGAGATGACGGATATAACGACCAAGTTGGAGCCATTCGATGGTAACCTTACTACTCTGTTCTCGTCGAAGGCCAGGCTCTACTTTGAAGCCGTGCAAATCCAACAAAAGGTTCAGGACAACAAGAAGATGATTGAGAGAACGTTGAAAGAAATGTGAGGTTAGCTCCATTGCGATCGTTAAGCGATGTGGTTAACCATTTTTTTCTCATTGCAGATACATCACTATCCTTGTTACGAGCTCGGTAATAATGCTCTTTTTGATAGTGGGACTAGTTATTTTGATCGGTAGGGTCAGATTTCTGTGATAAGTACTCGTATACTGAACATTAAATGGTGTTGCAGAGAAGACGCATCCGTTTTGGTGGTGGTTCTTTCCGTTGTAAGTAGTTTTTTTTGTCTTGTTCTAAATTTTTTGAAAGTATCTTATGCCTTTCGTTATGTTATGGCAGGATTACTGTTGCTCTTTGGCTACTGACAGTATTCAGCTGGATCGCCTTTGGATTGTCTTACGCGGCTCACAAGTAATCTGATAGTTTTTCTTTAATCCGCTTCTTTCTCAACTGAAATAAGTTGTCAGTGTCGTGGACGACTCCTGTACAGCTCTAGAGGAGTATCAACAAAACCCATACAACAACACAAACGCACTGGGCTTGCTCCTGCCTTGCGTCGATTCCAAGAATGGGAACGACTCAGTCCTCAAGATACGTGAAGGCATGTACAGAGTTATCGCACAGGTAAGCTTGTGGTGTTCCAGCCATGCATCTAAATCCGAAGCTTTTCTCTTGCCAGGCGAATAGGAATATATCGAAGCTACGTACGACGATGGATGGCATCGGGGACAACCGCGTCATCCCCCACATTTGCAATCCATTCTCCGGCCCTCCACACTACAAGCTTACAGGGCAGTGCCTCGAAGGCACTGTGGCGATAGGTAACGTTCCCCAGGTAATTAAGAGACGCTGCTTTCAGATCGATCGTCACAAACTTTGATGGTTTTTGATGGAAAAAACTTACAGGTGCTCCAGCCGTTTCGATGCTCGGCCAAAGACGAGCACGAGTGTGCTACCGCCGAAGGCGTGCAGCACATCCCAGACCCGATCTACAGGACCATTCTGGCCTACAGCGCCGCCGCGCAGACGCTCATCGACGCCACCCCATCGCTGGAAAGCCTCGCGAATTGCTCCTTTGTGGTGCGCGCTTTCTCGGTGATCGTGGATGGTAAGTGCCGCCCCGTGAGGAGCTCCATCCATCTCCTCTGGGCTGCGTACGCTGGGCTCGCCACCACCGCGTTTTTACTCCTCATTCTCTACGCCATACGGATTTACTCAAAGCTCAAACAATCCAAAACACAGGGTTAAAGTTTTTTAGGGCTTATTTGATTTTAGGGCTTTTATTCGATTAAAATTTTTAAGGCATATTTGATTAGTATTAAGCAATCTCTGCTTAGAATAAACTAATTGAAAAAAAAAAAAAGATTCCTTTCTCGTGTTGTATAAGGCTGCCGCTTGGCAAGCGTGGGCTCGTGATTGATCGATCGCGATCAAGAAAATATTTCGCTAGCGAGCGCGCAAGGTAGGGAATTTCTCGGCCTGGCGCCGCGATTGATCGTGTGGCAGCTCCGCAATGGCGTCCAATGCGAGCGAATCGGCGGTGCCTGCCATTGCGCATCCCACTCCCGGGGATTCTTTCGGTGTGGCGGCCAACATTGTCTACCATTCGCAGTTCTCTTCTCGATTCTCGCCGTTTAAGTTCGAGGTGGAGCAGGCATTCTATGCCACTGCGGCGAGCGTGAAAGACGCCCTTGTCCAGGTCTGTCTAGTCTCCTATTCACGATATAGAAATTTTTCTTGGATGGATTGTTAGAGGAAGAACATGATTCTTTTCTCTTGGTTGGATCCATGGATTTTTTATAGAGATGGAACGAAACATACAAGCATTTCCACGAGGAGGATCCCAAGCAAGTTTATTACTTGTCCATGGAGTTTCTGCAAGGAAGAGCGCTCACCAATGCCATTGGAAATCTCGGCCTCTCGGACGCTTACGCGGCTGCGCTGACGAAGCTGGGCCATGATCTCGAGAACGTACGAGAACAAGTAAGTTCTAAGTATCCAAACTTTGTGGTTTCGTTCGAGCTAAAGGAATTTTCTCTCCAAGGAAAAAGATGCAGCTCTTGGAAATGGAGGTCTCGGGAGGCTTGCCTCGTGTTTTCTAGATTCCATGGCGACTCTCGATTTACCTGCATGGGGATATGGCCTACGATACAAGTACGGGCTTTTTAAGCAGATAATTTCCTCTAAAGGCCAGGAAGAATATGCAGAGGACTGGCTAGAGGTATTTCCCTTGCTTGTTAGCGAAGCAATCGTTCGTGCTCACTTGATCTTCCTTGGCAGAAGTCTAGTCCTTGGGAAATAGTCAGGCACGACGTAACATATCCAGTTCGATTTTTCGGTGAGGTGCAAGTCGATTCTGATGGAAGGTGATTTGTTTTTTGCTTCTAGCGTTTACAAAACTCTAAGCTCTTCTACCATCTTTCAAGGCGGAAATGGATCGGGGGAGAAGTTATGCAGGCTCTGGCTTATGATATCCCCATCCCTGGCTACAACACAAAGAACACAATCAGCCTTCGAATTTGGGAAGCGCGCGTGCCCGCCGAAGATTTTGACTTGTATGCTTTTAACGCCGGAAAACACGAGGAAGCAGTTCAGCTACAGCTGAAGGCCGACCAGGTGTGTTCTTGTTCAAAACAAAACTTTGTTCGTATGACATATTTACTTCCTTCCAGATCTGCTCAGTTTTATATCCTGGAGACAGTACTGAAGATGGAAAGCTCTTGCGTCTGAAGCAGCAGTACATGCTGTGCAGTGCTTCGTTGCAGGTGATTGTGTGTGTTTTAAGCGTTTCAGCTTGAAAGTATAGTGTCTTCGTGATATAGGATATTTTCTCGCGTTTCAAAGAAAGACGTGGAGCTATCTCATGGGATGAGTTTCCAAATAAAGTTGCTGTTCAACTAAACGATACGCATCCAACGCTGGCAATTCCAGAATTGATGAGGATTTTGATGGACGACGAAGGACTTGGATGGGATCAGGCGTGGAACATTACTTCCAGGTTGGTTCTTCTTTTTTCAAACAAGTAATTCCCGGTCTATCAACTTTCTTCTATGTTGTCGATTCTAACAGCACTATAGCATATACTAACCATACAGTTCTTCCGGAAGCACTTGAGAAGTGGTCACAAGTTGTCATGGCCAAGCTTTTACCTCGGCATATGGAGATTATAGCAGAAATTGATAAGCGGGTAGGCATTCTCAGTCTCTCTCTCATTGAGTTTGTCTTATAAAATTGCTTGCATTTGCAGTTTCAAGTGCTTGTGGCTAGAACAAGGCCCGAGTTAGAAAGTAAACTGGAAGCTCTACAAGTTTTGGATAACTCCAACCCCGAAAAGAAGCTTGTGCGCATGGCACACTTGTGTGTTGTGTCTGCTCATTCGGTAACGTTTACAAATTTATAGCGAGGAAGGCCCGCTGATTATGCTTGCCAGGTGAACGGAGTTGCAGAGCTGCACAGCGAGATATTGAAGAAGGAGCTCTTTTCCGACTTCTATTCGCTATGGCCCGAAAAATTTAATAACAAGACAAATGGTGTCACTCCAAGGCGGTGGCTACGTTTTTGCAGCCCCGAATTAAGTGCGATCATTACCAAGTGGCTGAGGACTGAT